GTTTTCCTTAGAAAACTAGTGATCTACTGCAGTTAGCCTCACAAATACTCCACTTTCTCTTACAATAAGAGCATGGGAAGATACTAAAGTCAAAGTGGGACAGGAAATGGCAGACGCTTCCATCGCTGCCTCTGCCACCATATTATGGCCTATTTTATTCATTTTAAAGTATATATCATGTTACTGTGTTAATTATATTGTTTATTATATCATATAAGATGAATTGTGATAGATAAATAAGCTGTACAGTTGAGATTAGCATCATAGTCAAGTATTTTGTTTTGTCTCCAGAGTGCAGGAATGGATTAATGGCTTTTCAATTAATTTAAATGAGGAAAATTTACTTGATATATTAGCAAATTGAGTTACGAGCTAGGTCACGGAACGGATTAAACTCGTAAGTCAAGGTTCCACTGTAGTTTGTTAGATTATGTATTGGTGGATAAAAGGGTGATGGGTAGGCTTCAAGATGTGAAAGTTTACAGAGGGGCAAACGATATATCAGATCATTATTTAGTTGTAACTACAGTTAGAGTAAGAGTTACATGGGGCAAAAGGAAAAAGCAAGTAAGAGAGAGGTGAAAGTTTATAACCTAAGGGAGGAGAAAGTTAGGGTGAGATATAAGCAACTATTGGCAGGAAGGTGGGCTAGTGCGAGCATAGGTAGTGGGGAAGGTTGAAGAGGGGTGGGATAGTTTTAAAAATGCAGTGTTAGAATGCAGGGCAGAAGTTTGTGGCTATAGGAGAGTGGGTGCTGGAGGAAAAAGGAATGACTGGTGGAATGATGACGTAAAGGGTGCAATAAAAGAGAAAAAGGTCACTTATGAAAGGTCTTTACAAAGCAGAAGTGATATAAGAAGGGTGGAGTACATGGAGAGTAAAAGAAAGACGAAGAAAGTGATGAGAGTCAATAAGGCGAGCAAATGATATAGTGGGTGAGGCATTGTCAACAAATTTTGCTGAGAAAGAGAAAAAATTTGGAGTGAGATAAACAAGTTAAGAAAGAATAGGTAGGGAATGAATGGATTTGTCAGTTAAAAACAGAGTATGGGAGATAGTAGATGGGGAATTGGAGGTATTGGGAAGATGGTGGGAATATTTTTAGGAACTTTTAAATGTTGATGAAGAAAGGGAGGCAGTAATTTCATGCACTGGCCATGGAGGTATAGCATGTTTCAGGAGTGAAGAAGAGCAGGAAGTGAAAGTGGGGGAGGTGCAAGAGGCATTACACAGAATGAAAGGGGGTAAAGCAGGTGGAACTGACAGGATCATGACAGAAATGTTAAAAGCAGGGGGGGATACAGTAGGGTATGTAAAAGAAGAAAATTAAGAAGAAAAAGTGAATATAGGAAAATTAAGAAGAAAAAGTGAATATAGGAAAGAGTAAGGTTATAAGGATAACAAAAAAATTAGGTGATGAAAGATTGGATATCAGATTGGAGGGAGAGAGTATGAAGGAGGTGAATGTATTCAGATATTTAGGAGTGGACGTGTCAGCAGATGGGTCTATGAAGGATGAGATGAATCATAGAACTGATGAGGGGAAAAGGGTGAGTGGTACACTTAGGAGTTTGTGGAGACAAAGAACTTTGTCCATGGAAGCAAGCGAGGAATGTATGTGAGTATAGTTGTACTAACACTTTTGTATGGGTGTGAAGCATGCATGATGAATGTTACAAGGAGAAGGCTGGAGGCAGTGGAGATGTCATGTATGAGGGCAATGTGTGGTGTGAAAATAATGCAGAGAATTCATAGTTTGGAAATTATTAGAAGGTGTTGGATTAACAAAACTATTATCCAGAGGGCTGAGGGGTTGCTGAGGTGGTTCGGACATGTAGAGAGAATGGAACAAAACTGAATGACTTCGAGAGTGTATAAATCTGTAGTGGAAGGAAGGCGGGGTAGGGGTTGGCCTAGGAAGGGTTGGAGGGAGGGGGGTAAAGGAGGTTTTGTGTGAGAGGGGCTTGGACTTCCAGTCAGCGTGTGTGAGCGTATTTGATAGGAGTGAATGGAGACAAATGGTTTTTAATATTTGACGTGCTGTTGGAGTGTGAGCAAAGCAACATTTATGAAGGGATTCAGGGAAACCGGCAGGCTGGACTTGAGTCCTGGAGATGGGAAGTACAGTGTCTACACTCTGAAGAAGGGGTGTTAATGTTGCAGTTTTATAACTGTTGTGTAAAGCACCCCTCTGGCAAGGCAGTGATGGAAAGTCTTTCTTTTTCGGGCCATCCTGCCTAGGTGGGAATTGGCTGATGTGTTAATATAATAAATAAATATCCAGTAAAGTGTATGGTAGGGTTAGTATTGAAAGAATTAGATGTAAGACAGAGAGCAGGATTGCAGATGAACAAGGAGGCTTTAGAATGGGTAGGAGATGTGTAGATTAAGTGTTTACATTGAAGCATATATGTGAACAGTATTTAGATAAAGGCAGGGAAGTTTTCATTGCATTTATGAATTTAGAAAAGGCAAATGATAGGGAGGATAGGGGAGCAATGTGGCAGATGTTACAAGTGTATCGAATAGGTGTGTAGGAGAGAGGGAAATTACTTCCCAGTAAAAGCAGGTCTTAGACAGGGATGTGTAATGTCACCATGGTTGTTTAATATGTTTATAGATGGGGTTGTAAAAGAAGTAAATGCTAGGGTGTTGGGGAGAGAGGCAGGATTAAATGATGGGAAATCAAATACAAAATGGGAGTTGACACAGTTACTTTTTGCTGATGATACTGTGCTTTTGGGAAATTCTAAAGAAAAGTTGCAAAGGTTAGTGGACGAGTTTAGGAGGGTGTATAAAGGTAGAAAGCTAAAAGTGAACAGAGATAAGAGTAAGGTGATGAGGGAATCAAACGATTTAGATAAAGAAAAAATTGGATATCACACTGGAGGGAGGGAGTATGGAAGAAGTGAATGTGTTCAGATTGGTTTATGAAGGATGAGGCTAACCATAGAATTGATGAAGGAAAAAAGGTGAGCGGTACTTTGAGGTATCTGTGGAAACAAAAAACTTTATCCATGGAGGCAAAGAAAGGAATGTCTGAGAGTATAGTGGTATCAACATTCTTATATGGGTATGAATCTTGGGTTGTAAATGCTGCAGCAAGGAGGAGGCTGGAGGCAGTGGAGATGTCACGTCTAAGGTCAATGTGTGGTGCAAATATTATGCAGAGAATCCGTAGTGTGGAGTTACTAAAAGTATTAGTCAGTGAACTGAAGAGGGGTTGTTGAGGTGGTTTGGTCATTTAGAGAGAATGGAACAAAGTAGAATGACTTGGAGAGTGTATAAATCTGTAGGGGAAGGAAGGCAGGGTAGGGGTTGTCCTCGAAAAGTTTGGAGGGAGGGGGTAGAGGAGGTTTTGTTGGCAAGGGGCTTGGACTTCCAGCAAGCATGTGTGTGTTGGATAGGAGTGAATTGAGACGAATGGTTTTTGGGATGTGATGAGGTGCTGGAGTATGAGCAGGGTAAAAAGAGGTTATGTAAGGGATTCAGGGAAAGCGGTTAGCCAGACTTGAGTCCTGGAGGTGGGAAATACAATGCCTGCACTTTAAAGAAAGGGTTTGGGATATTAGCTGTTTGGAGGGACATCTAAACTGTCATATCTGAACGCCTCTGCAAAGACTGTGATTATGTGAGTGACGGTGAAAGTGTTGAATGATGATAAAAGGTTTATCTTTCTTTTGAGTTTTTCTTTCTTTTTTTTGGATCGCTCTTCCTCGGTGAGAAATGGATGACACGTAAAAAAAAAAAATTGAAACTTTCCCTCTATATTTTTTACGATTTCTTATACATTTTGCACTGATTCTGTTTCTTGGTGCAAAGTGATAATGTTTTTTGGGGAGAATTTCTCAAGAGCCACACTAATGTATCTCTCAATAGTTCATCAGGGAGTCTTGATGGAGAGCTAATCATCTGTTAAGACATTCATGTTGTCCTCAAAGATATCCTGAAACTAAATAACTTAACCTTTCAGGGTCCAGAGGCCAAATTTCAAAGTGTGCACCAGGGTCCAAGAATTAAAAAAAAGTTATTTTTTTCTTATGAAATGGTGGAGAATCTTTTTCTGAAGGTAATAAAATAAAAAGTATGAAATTTGAAGGAAAATTGATGAAATTATGCTCTTGCAAATTTTGATGTGTCAGCGATATTTACGTATCGGCAATTTTGCCAACTTTGACTCCCATTTTAGGCCAATTAGGGTCCAGAATGAACAATGCAGGCATTGCTGACACTAAACTAACATTTCCTCTGTTCATTAGTTAAGTTTTCAGGCTTTACAAATGAATTCCATTTTGATTTTTTATTCACATAATGAATTTTTATTCAAACTAAAAAATAGAAGATTTACTGTTGTGCAATATTGTAATAATTGTATAAATAATATCACCATATTTGTGAACGTATATTAGACCCATCAGCTGGGGTGTATTAGATGTGTGAGGTCATTTGCTTACTCTTGATCAATGGCAAAAATTTAACATTTCTGCTACTTTGAGCTCGGTTTCAAGCCATTTTCACTACTAAAACCAATCAAAATCATCTCTATTACTGTAATATATCTTCCATTCTATCAAATGAGATCAAGAAATTGCAAATACAACTATAAAAAACATATGAAAAACACTGCAAAGTCGCTGTTTTAATAAAAAAATTATAGTCTTAGTTTTTTTCTCTCATTATGCATTGTGTGCTGCAGGATTTGTTTTATGTGGTGCACACATACCACATAGATGTATTCTCTCATATCTAGGCCCAAATTTACCGCTCACAGCTTTGCAGAGTGAGCTGAGCTCATGGCACAGAACTACGTTTTGGGCCTTCAACTCAAAGCTGTAGAACTATGGCACGGACCCTGAAAGGGTTAATAGGCAAGGCCAAGGTGGAAGTGACTGGTGCTATCATTTATGTCATTATCCAATGTGTTTTGATGGCAGCCATCAAGTTTAAAGTTTAGAATGTAATATTAGACCAGCAAACTACCATTAAAAAACACAACTTACTTCATGATCAGCAACTTGCATTGCTTGGAGAGTTAGTGTTAAAGCATCATCAATATGGCCAGCAGTGTAGAGCAAAGCTGCAATGTTAATCAAAGGAACATCTCGCCACTCATCTGGTGCTGTAGCAACCGCACGCCGTAAGCACTCAACCCCATTATAGAGATTACCATGAACTCTCCAATATAAACCCGCCAAGTTGTAAAGTAGCCACTGAGGTCCAACACCCTGTAATGAAACAACTATATGTAAAATTTCAGTGTAATTAGGTATAAAAGATTTCCTATTCTAAAGAGAACATTTGGATAACTATACCTATTTCATTGTAACAGTGAGTGAATGGTTTGAATGGTTACCCATTCCTAATACAGCAGTTAGAAGAAAAAAGAAATTTTAATATCAACTATTGCACAACAGATATTTACTCACCCTGCCTCAGTGGGAGACGGCCAGTGCGTTAAAAAAATTATTATTATTTTTTAACATCAGCTGTCTCCCACGGAGGTAGGGTGAGCAAATAAAAGAAGAAAAACTTTCACTATCATTCACTCTATTACTGTCTTGCCAGATATTGCCAATATTACAGTGTAGATGCCCCTCCAAAATGCAAATATCACCTCTCCTTCAGAATGCAGGCATGGCACTTCTCACCTCCAGGACTTGAGTCTGGGCCACCAGTTTCCCTAAATCCCTTCAACAAATGTTACCTTGCTAACACTCCAACAATTCATTGAGTCCCAAATATCATATGCCTCCACTTCTACTTAACATGCTCACACATTCCTGTTGGATGTCCAAGTCCCTCACACACAAAACTTCCTTTACCCCTTCCCTCCAACCTTTCATAGGGTGACCCCTACCCTGCCTTCCCTCCATTACAGATTTGTACACCCTCCAAGTCATTGTATTGTGCTCCATCCTCTATAAATGCCAACAACTTCTAATTATCAACAACTCCTCTCTACTTCTATTTTGTATCAGATTCTGCATAGTTTAATCATATACTTCTCTCCATATTAAGTAATATGAATAATACTAAAAGTTGCCAGAAGCAAGGGGCTAGCAATCCCTTCTCCTGTATACATTACTAAAGTTGGAAAGAGAAGCTCTCATTTTTCTTTTTTGGCCCACCCTGCTTCAGTGAGATGTGGCCAGTTAGCTGAAAGAATATTAAAAGTATTATTTAGAGGGTCGAGGAGGGGTTGTTGAGGTGGTTTGATCATTTAGAGAAGATGGAGCACAATAGGATGACTTGGAGGATGTATAAATCTGTATTGGAGGGGAGGAGGGGTAGGGGTCATCCTAGGAAAGGATGAAGAGAGGGGGTGAAAGGTTTTGTGTGCAAGAGTTTTGGACATATAGCAGGCATATTTAAGCGTGTTAGATAGGAGTGAATGAAGTTTTTGGGACTCGATGAGCTGTTGGAATGTGAGCACGGTAATATTTTGTGAAGGGATTCAGGGAAACCTGTTAGCTGGACTTGTGTCTGACTTCCCAGTGGGAAGCACTTCAATGGAGGGGTTTGGGATATTGACTGTTTGGAGTGACATCTCAACTGTTGTATCTGGGTGCCTCTTCAAAGACAGTGATTATGTATGAACAATGGTGAAAGTGTTGAATGATAGTAAAAGTGTATTTTTTTTTTTTTTGGGGGGGGGGGGGTTCACCCTGCCTCGGTGGGAGACGGCTGATGTGTTGAAAAAAAACTGTAACACTCTTACATTGACTTCTTTTACAACCCCACCTTTTTTTTTTTCCAACAAGATGGCCATTTCCCACCTAGGCAGGGTGACCCAAAAAGAAAGAAAATCCCCAAAACGAAAATACTTCCATCATCATTCAACACTTTCACCTCACTCATACATAATCACTGTTTTTGCAGAGGCACCCAGATACATCAGTTTAGAAGTCTATATAAAGATACAATATAAATAGTGACCTGAAATAACATAATAAACTCCATAGAGAATACAATATTAGGGCCCCAATTATATATATACCATCCTATTACACATCCCTCCAAACTGCCAATATCCCAAACCCCTCCTTTAAAGTGCAGGCATTGTACTTCCCATTTCCAGAACTCAAGTCCGGCTATATAAAAATAACCGGTTTCCCTGAATCCCTTCACTAAATATTACCCTACTCACATTCCAACAGCTTGTCAGGTCCCAAAAACCATTCGTGTCAATTCATTCCTATCTAACACGCTCATGCACGTTTGCTGGAAGTCCAAGTCCCTTACCCACAAAACCTCCTTTATTCCCTCTCTCCAACCTTTTCGAGGACGACCCCTACCCCGCTTTCCTTCCCCTACAGATTTATACGCTCTCCATGTCATTCTACTTTGATCCATTCTCTCCAAATGACCAAACCACCTCAACAACCCCTCTTCAGCCCTCTGACTAATACTTTTATTAACTCCACACCTTCTCCTAATTTCCACACTTCACATTCACATAACATTTACACCACACACTGCCCTTAGACAGGACATCTCCACTGCCTCCAACCACATCCTCGCTGCAGCATTTACAAGCCAAGCTTCACACCCATATAAGTATTGTTACCACTATACTTTCATACATTCCCTTCTTTGCCTCCACTGATAACATTTTTTGTCTCCACATAAACCTCAATGCACCACTCACCTTTTATCCCTCATCAATTCTATGGTTAACCTCATCCCTTTAAGATTTCCCTAAAATGCGACAGAAGAGTGTCATTGTACACGCTGTCAATACGGCTTGCAACAGCAGTGTCAGAATAATATTCATCCATAAATGCTTGCAACTTTGTAAACATTGTACACATTTCCTTAATCTTTGACGAAGGCAACTACCTCCGTCTCTCTTCCTCCTCCTCTGAAGGAAATTCTTGAGTTGTGATCTGTTGCTGTTGCACCTGAAGCTCTTGCAGCTCTGTAGTGGTTAGCTCTCCACCATCGTCCTCCACCAACACCACAAACCTCCAACCCCATGGACTTCCCCAATGCCACAATAGATTCCCCAACTGTCATAGGCTCCTGAGGGTTAGCCCCAAACCCTTCAAAATCCCTCTCTTGTGCACATTGTGGCCACAATTTCCTCCAAGCAGAGTTCAAGGCCCTGTTAGTCACTCCCTCCCAAGCCTTACCTATAAGGTTTATGCAATTGAGGATACTAAAGTGATCTTTCCAAAACTCTCTTAGGGTCAAATGAGTGTCTGAGGTCACTTCAAAGCACTTTTGGAATACTGCTTTGCTGTTCAGTTTTTTCAAGTTTGAAATAACCTGCTGGTCCATGGGCTGGAGGAGAGGAGTAGTATTAGAAGGCAAAACTTCACTTTGATGAAGCTCAACTCCGCCGCAATTTGCTCTTGCAAGTCGTGAGGATGAGCATAAGCATTGTCCATTACCAGGAGGCACTTGAGTGACAATTTATTTTCCAGGAGGTACTTTTTCACAGTGAGGCCAAACACATCATACAACCAGTCCACGAAAATGTCCCTAGTGACCCATGCCTTACTGTTTGCTCTCCACATCACACAATTTAGTCTTGACGACACTGTTTTTCTTGAACACTCTGGGAGTTTCACAGTGATACACGAGTAAAGGCTTCACTTTGCAATCCCCACTAGCATTACTACAAAACATGAGGCTTGTGTCCTGGGAGTGCCTTTTCCTCCTGAGTAATGTAGGTCCTGTTTGGCATTTTCTTCCAAAACAGGCCTGTTTCGTCCCAATTAAACACTTGTTGGGGTTTTAATTTTTCAGTTTCTATGTACTCCTTAAAGTCCTGCACATATTTTTCAGCTGCTCTTTTTTCTGAACTGGCAGCCTCACCATGTCTTATCGCACTGTGAATGCCACTATGATTCTTAAATCTCTCAAACCAACCTTTGCTGGCCTTAAATTCATCAACAGCAGCACCATTTGGAGGCATTTTCTTAATGAGATCATCATGCAACTGCCTTGCCTTTTCACATATTACTGACTGAGAAACACCATCTCCTGATAATTTTTTTCATTTATCCACAACAACAACAGTCTCTCCACATCTTCGAGTATTTGCAATCTCTGTTTTGAAAACATACCTGCACCTTTCACAACAGCAGCTTCCTTGATTGCCTTTCTGTTGGCCAAGATAGTAGTGATGGTTGAATGGAGTTTGTTATATAACCTTTCCAACTCAGAGATATGCACTCTACTTTCGTACTTTTCTATTATCTCTTTTTTTAATTCGATAGTACACCTGACACTCTTTACCACAGGGTTGGCACTAGAAGCTTTCTTGTGGCCCATGGTGGCTTATTTAGCAGTTACAAGCACTAAAAACAATGGAATAATACAAAATATATCACATGTACGCGTGGAATCGACCTCAACAGCTTGTAAACAATGGTACACTGGCTATACACGGAGTCTTGGAGTGGCCGGGCCCGCTCAGGCCGCGTGGATGCGTTCAGGATGAAAGCCCTTAGCCGAGTTTTTCGGCGTTGGCCAAGCCAATATTTTTACGCCAAAGAGAGCCGTTAGCCGATTTTGGCATTAGCCAATGCAGCTGTTAGTCAAGGGTCCACTGTACCAACCATTCCAAAACTATATACCACCTGCTTTTAACATCTGTTTTGATCCTATCAATTCCCACCTGCTTTACCCCCTTTCATATTATCCACAGCCTCACACTCCTTCCCCACACTAGCATCTGGCTCTTCCTCACTCCTAAAGGATGTTATAGCTCCTTGGCTAATGCATGAAATCACTGCACCCCTCTCTTCATCAACATTTAACAGCTCCTCAAAATGTTCCTGCTATTTTCCCAATACAGTGGAACCTCAAATATCGAACTTTCTTCGGTCCAGAAGGCTGTTCGAGTGCCTTTACTGAATTAATTTATTCCCATCAGGAATAATGTGAATTAGTTTAGTCCATTTCAGACCCTCAAAAATACACTTATAAAAGCACTTACAAAAATGCACTTACATAATTGGTTGTGTTGGGAGCAGTTCAATTTTTGAGGTTCCACTGTACCTCCAATTCCCCATCTAATAAGTGAAGAAGAATCCTTCCTCCATAAGCCATGTGTGTCATAAGAGGCAACTAAAATGCCAGGAGCAAGGGGCTAGTGATTTCTTATCCTGTATAAATTACTAAATATAAAAAAGATGAAAAACTATAAGGAAAGTGCCTCTTATGTTTTGAGTCACTCTACCTCAGTGGGAGATGGCTGGTGTGTAAAAAAAATATT